AGGGCCAAGGATTGTGGCCACCCACTCGTCCTTTTTGAACATCTTGGCATCTTTAGACGATACCCGAAACGTTCTCAGGGCGGTTCGAGCCTAAATCTCAGCTTCGACTGCCAAAATCTCACCACTGCCGTAAACTCGTCGTCATCATGACATAGAGCCACATGCATCCCCAATAAGTTTTTGAATTCACGATCTCCTGAGCCTGTCTGTGTGTAACCTATCCGTACACGATGGGCGGAGTTCTTCGATCTAACCCGTCAATATCGTCTGCTAACAGCACGAAGCTCAAGGCTACCCGAAAGTATTTCTGCGACACTAACATCCTCCTTCGTGAAAAGAGATGGGATTTCTCTTTTACATGCCTGTAGTACCTACTTGGTGATTTCTTAATCGACGAAAATGGCCTTCAGGATTGTATAGGTTTTCAAGTGGATCAGACTCAGATGCCGACTTTGAGCCTCTGAAGAAGGCAAAGAAGCCGAAACATCAGCTGAGTAATACGTTGACATAGCCGGTCCTCGAATGGCTCCCGTAATTATTTACTGTGTTTATTATATTTGTTATTATATTATATGATTAGGGATCCCTTTTAAGAGAATACATATTAAGATCTACCTCTGTGTTATGAAGTTTGATTCTTTCAGCTACCTCTTTTCAGATCACTACAGTGTTGAACCTAGCTGTGCGACAGATAAGTAAGTTGGAGACCAATATCGTTTCCGTAGAAAGAGTCGCGGAGTACTCGAATATACCGACAGAGGTTAGGTGTAAGAATGTTTCCTCACATAAACAATTTCCACTTACAGTTTTGCCAACTCTGGCTGGTAACTGACTGGTCATCAACCACACTTCGTTGGAATGCGAAAACTAGTATAAATGAAAACCACGTAGGGTCAAGCTGCGTCGTGGAGTCCTCAAGAGGTGATCGTGACTTTCTAGAAAGGGCATGGGGTGAGAAGAGTATTCGCAGAGCACCACACTGAACAGAGCAGCGACAACGATTCTGGGGATGGAAGAGGATGGAAAGCACTGCCATCGCGCCCCGCCGTAGAGCCTACTACCTCCACGAGTTGATCACAAGGTTGATGAGAAACTAACACTGTGCATATATACTGCCAACATGGGTGTAAGATGCACGATCACGAAAACATAGCAGGTAGCTTATCAGCCGTCTACGCATGTTGCGGCACCCCAGATGGTGGCAAATCCCTTAACGCGGCAGCTTCAACGTCCAGTGCTTTTGTTTCTTTTCAACTCGAGTAGAGATGTCTTCTGAAAGCATTTTGCGGTTTCTAAAGTCTTGGGTGATGGCGTGGAGACACCTACACTGCGCTGAAGAAAAATCCCGCCCCTGTTGGCAATTTCCCATGACGGGTGAGCTTTCGTAATAACCAATTAATATGTTGTGGTTAAAGGAAAAATCCTCTGGTTTTGACCTTTGCTTTATGTTACTTATGAATTACCTTGTAGCCTTTGTTAGTTGTTCGGTCAAAAATTTGTAAACGCAACAATTCCGTAACCGAGACGGATCCGTGACACACTTACACGACTGCTTCAGTGTTTTCAGGTAAAAAAACATCACCTTTCGTGCATTATAGAATGAACAATAAAAATACCAACACCGTCACGTGTTCTATAGCGACGAGCTCTATCAAAGTGACCCTTTGGATTAAGCCTGACTAATCGAGCTGATAGAACCTGCAGAAAAATGTGCAGGTATCGCCAAGGTTCATGGACAGTCGATGATGGAGGAGTGCAGGTACCAGTCCGGAGATGACGAGTCTGCGGAATCGTAGAAAAGTGGAATCTGCAGAAATGCCGGAGTTCCGTAGTATCCACATTTTTGAAGGAGGCACGGTTGAGCGATAAGTATGACCCTATGACCTTATTTCGCCTGCAGATTTTGCATTTCTTTCAACTTCGTAAAATCGTATTCCTTCGAATAAAAACGCGTACTTCCTTCTATCCGCAGCTTCGTCGTCGTTCGAATGTGACCTAAGAGCGAACTGGAGGTCATTCATATCTCTTATGAAGAAAAGGTGAAACTCGTGGACTGCAGTGGGAGCCCTAAGGGGGAAAAATATCTGCCAAGAATATCTTCACTAATTCGCTATCAAGAATGGAAGTTTGAAGGCAACCGCCTCATAAGGAAAGGATGGTGGTCGAAGTGGCCATTTGGAATAAGATGTATACCGACTGAAGGGTCTTTGGACGAGGATTACGAAACCGTCTTCCATATCTGCAGCGGACCTAGCAGAACAAAGTTACGGAGACTTCTAGGGGGACACGCATATTCAATACGAATAAGCGTCGTAGGGCTACCTTGGTCCAGGGATCGTGGTTAAGTGGGTACGATCTAGGCCTCACGACTGCATGGTCGAAGATTTCAATCTCTGATGCGGAGGCTCTTTTGAATTTTTTCTATGGTCTATGTGCACTCGAAGCATTTTTGTATGACTCTTGTGTTTAATAATGTCAAACGGGGTATGTTTCCGAACCAATCGGCCATTGTGGACGATCCTTACGGAGAACAATTTTGGCTACTGATTTCTTCTTCTGATGCTTTGAAGTGCTTATTTTTCACCACAAGAATGCACTCCAACGAACGAGTTAGCTCTGAGAAATGGCTTTATTCTCCAAACGACATGGCTGGACCCGAAACCGCACGAAGTTGTGCGCGATGATGAGTATATGAGGAAAGGCTCTCCCACGACGGACGTGGCGTCGAGTGGCAATCTTGCCAGAGATCATAAAGGAAAACATTTTCATTCATGCTTTCGAGTACAGGGACCGCTTTTGAAAGTATGCAAAAGAGCACACACATCAAGGAATTGAACCTCCGACCGTGCATTGGCGAGACCAGCGACCTAACCACTCGTCCACACTGCTCCGATTGAAATGGCCCTTCGCCGCTAATTTAAATTAACTGTCCGCAGCAGACATGGAAGACGGTTTTGAAATACCCGTGAAAGACTTTTCAGTCGGTGTACATACCATCCAACAATCCGGTTGGTTACTGTTGCCCTGCCCTTGAGCGTCCCAGAAGCGAAAGTTTTCCGTTCCAGGATAGAGTTGTTGCCACGTCTTGACGGAATGGCACCACCAGGAGTGGAGCCTGCGGCTTAATTTGACTCAACACGGGAAAACTCACCCGGCCCGGACACCGTAAGGATTGACAGATTGAAAGCTCTTTCTCGATTTGGTGGTTGATGGTGCATGGCATTCCCTAGTTGGTGAGGCGATTCGTCCGATTCATCCCGATAACGAGCGAGATTCTAACCCATGACCGGTTTTACAAGGTCAAACAACACTTCTCAGAGGAATC